TAAGCAAATAATTTGAATTTTATGCAGTTTGATCAAACTAGGGATAAGCAGCTAAATTGATTATACCCCATCCTACAGAAACTGTTAAAATTTATAGAAACAAAAGTCAGTTTGTGCTAGACAGGATTTGTCAAGGGGCAGTTACTGTTCTCAGTTTCCTTGGGATCCCCGAGGCCAGGGGAATGGACAGACCTTCAGCCTTTACTCTCAGTGTGAGAAAATGGAGGATGCAGAAAAAGTTAAGGAAGTTGTCCTTAATGTCAATTTGTTTCAACTCCAGATATCCAAGTTACCTATCTTTTAAGGAATCAATACCTCGTCTGAGAGCTGGGGTACAGGATCAAGCAACAAAGTTTCAGAGTCAGGCACTGGCATTTGAACAAGTGGCCTCAACCATAAGTGTGTTTAAAATGCCTAAATTGAACTGGGCACARTGGCCCATGCCTGTAATCCCAGGGGCTCAGGAGGCTGAGACAGGAGGATCACAAGTTCAAAGCCAGCCTCAGTAATTTAGTGAGGCCCTAAGCAACTTAGGAAGACTCTGTCTCAAAAAATAAAAAGGGAATGGGGATGTGGCTCAGTGGTTAAGCACCCTTGAGTTCAATTCCTGGTATGAAAAAAAAAAAAAAAAGTTAATATAGTTTACTTGAATAAAAATGGGAGGCTGGAAGGTATAGAAGACTCCAAATGCATGAAAGATGTCTACCCTCAGAGTCCTCCAATCTAATTTGAAAAACAACAAAATTTATTGTTTCAAGATAACCTAAGTGTGTTGGATAAAAGACTGGTTCAGACCTAAGTTTCTTCAGGGTGTGTCAGAAGAGATTATTTTACAGCCAGTTTTGGTGATACACTTGATCTGTARTCCCAACTACTGGAGGAGGCAGGAGGATTGCAAAGTCAAGGCCAATCTAGGCAATTTAGAATATGTCTCAAAAATAAAATGAAAAAGGTACTGGGGTGTAGCTTGGTGGTAGAGCACTGCCTAGCATGTGTGAGGTCCAGGGTTCAGTCTCCAGCATCATTTACAAATATAAATACACACCCCATATCTATTTCTCAGATCTGACTTTACTAGTCACCAATCRTCCACTCTTGAACTAGCTAGGTCTCTGGCAAACTAGGAATGGGCCTGGGTTTTTAGTCCCTAAGGATCACCTTGAAAAACACAAGCAGGGGGAAAAAAAAAGGCACAGCAGGAAATGGTAGAGAAGGATGGAGGAAATAAGTAGAAAATGTTTTAAAAGTAGGGAAGGGTATCCCAGAATAACAGTGTAAACCTGAAAATGTGATGTGATGCAGTCCTATGAACTAGGGTGTCTTATAAATATTGTTTTTTCTTTGGATTGTAACGGCAACTATGTTTCAAATTCAATTTTAAGTTTTCATCTTCTAATTTTCCTTGTTGTACAGAGGATTGAATCCAGGGGGTGCTACCACTGAGCCAGATCCCCAACACTTTTTTTTTTGGTRGGGGAGAGGGAGTACTGGGGATTGAATTTAGAGGCACTGTACCACTGAGCCACATCTCCAGCCCTATTTTGTATTTTGTTTAGAGACAGAGTCTCACTGAGTTGCTTAGTGCCTCACTAAATTGCTGAGGCTGGCTTTGAACTCGCCATCCTCCTGCCTCCTCCTCCCCAGCCGCTGGGATTACAGGCATGTGCCACCGCCCCTGACACTTTTTATTTTTTATTTTTAGTTAGGTCTATACACTGATCTGCGCCATACAGTAATTTCTACTCCTGGATCAAATTGGTGATTAGGACAAGGCCATGACTTTAAATTAGACGATTGATCCCTCAGTGTGGGGTAGATCAGTAAATTGTCCTTCATCTTAAATTAATGAAACTCTACAATAGTAGTTTTCAATCTGAACTGTACAATGGAATTATCTGAAGGAACTTTGAAACACATTCTTACCTGGGCCCTGCTTCTAGAAATTCTGATTTATTTCTAGGGTTCCCTGAGTATTGCCTGGACATTGGAGGATCTGAACTGTCCCCAGGTGATCCTGAAGGACAACCCAAATTGAGAACTGCTGCTCTAATTCTGAGCAATCATTAAGGGATTGGTAAACTTCTTAAGAAAAACAACTTATGAGGTCTTACCAGAGTTGGAAGAGACTTGTATTATCATTTAAGACTGAGAGAGCCAAGCAATAGGATGAGCCAAAAAAAGGGGTTCCCCTACCATGGAGACTGGACTTTTTTCCTCAAGAATAATACATTAAAAAATACYTGGACCCAGGTACAATGGTACATACCTACAGTCCAAGCCACTTGGGAAGCTGAAGCAGAGAATCCCTTGAGCTTAGGAGTTTTAGGCCAGTCTGGGCAACACAGAGAGATCCTGCTTCAAATACATGGACAATAACCATAAAAAAATAAAAAAGTGGGTATTTGACATGGACACTCCCATAATCCCAGCTACTCAGGAGGCCAAGGAAGGAAGATTGCAAGCCAACCTGGGAAACGTAGTTTTGTCATGGAGTGGAATGGAACAGAGGAGAATGGAATGGAGGGATGACATGTAAATCAGTGGTAGAGCTCTTGCATAGCATTTGGGATGCCCTGTGTCCAACCCCCAGTACCACAAGACAAAAAGWAAACTTGGGTCAGGTGTGGTGGCACACACCTATAATCCCAGAGGCTTGGGAGGCTGAGGAAGGAGGATAGCAAGTTCAAAGCCAGCCTCAGCAATTTAGTAAGGTGCCAAACAATTCGGTGAAAAYGTGCCTCTAAATAAAATACAAAATAGGGCTGAGGATGTAGCTCAGTGCCTCTGAGTTAAACCCATGGTACAAAAAAAAAAAAAAAAAAGAAAAAGAAAAGAAAGAAAACTTGGTCACACAAGCAATCCAACAACCCCAAACCTGGAGTTTCCAAAGGAATGGGCTAAATCACCTTTGTAGGTTGTAAACATTAGAGAGAATTGCTCAGCCTTTTGAAGAATTGCAAGGTACAGAAAATTTTAAGTGTTCCCAAGAAGTCAGGCTCCAACCCTGACAGAAGCTTTTGGATTTGTTTGAAATATATGACAGACGTACTACAGCAGGTAAAGGTATCATGAAAGGAAGAAATAAAAATATTTTGGGGGCTGGGTATGTGGCTCAAGCGGTAGCGCACTCGCCTGGCATGTGTGCGGCCCAGGTTCGATCCTCAGCACCACATACAAACAAAGATGTTGTGTCTGCCAAAAACTAAAAAATAAATATTAAAATTCTCTCTCTCTCTCTTTAAAAAAATTAAAAAAGAAAATATTTTTGTGTAAGAGCTGGATATAGACATTTTTGGTCCCATAAGGGGGCAAAGCCAAATGTCTCTGGGCACATATAGTCTCTCTTGAGTGGACTCCTGGATCTGTCCCAACAGAACAACCATTCCAAAGGGAAAAAGAAACAAATTGAAGGTGAGCTGGGGAGGCAGTAGGGTGAAGAATTCATCTCAATTTGCTTGGGACCTTCTGATTTTGGGTTATGGAGTCCTGTGCCTCAGGAAACCTTTCAGTCCTGAAGAGTTTGCCAAATTACAAGTCAAGGGTGGGGGCCATCTGTCTCAGAATTGAACTTGAAAGATAAATGTCCAGATTACCTTCCTTAAAATTTAGTACTGTCTTAGGTTGAGGAGCAGAAGCGGAACATAAACTCTTATACAAGTGGTTTATTGAAGAATTGGTGCTCTTAGAAAGGGAGTAGGAGCAATGCAGACAAGCTAAACAAGAATGTGCTCCCAAGTAAGACTGACCCCAGCCTGATCTCACAAGAAACTCTGCAACAGAAACTTGAAGAAAATTGAAGCTCAGCACGGAAGCAATTTAGAAGGCTGAGGCAAGAGGATCACAAACTCAAGGTCAGCCTTGGCAACCCTATCTCAAAAAGGAATGATACAACTCAGTAGGGYAGGGTTCCCCCAGGTTCAATCCCCAGTACTGGGGAAATTTTTTTTTTCCTTATGTAAGTCAGGGGCCAGTCTTTTATACTTTTGTCTGAGAGGTGGCAATTGTTTTCTTTTTTTTGAAGTACTGGGAATTGAACCCAGGGTTGTTCTACCAAGCTACATCTCCAGCCTTTTATTTGTTTATTTTGAGACAGTTTTACTAAGGTACTAGGTGGGCCTCAAACTTACAATCCTCCTGCCTCAGCCTCCTGAATAGCTGGGATCATAGATGTGCACCACAGCACCCTGCTTCTTTACCAGAATATGTCTCAAAATTAAGAGTGATTAGAACCACTCAGAGGGAGCTGGGGATGTAGCTCAGTAGTAGATCACTTGCCTAGCACACCCAAGGTCCTGGACTCAATCCCTAGTACYACATATACAAATAGAATCATCCAGAGGGCCTGGTAAACTAGGATGCTAGGCTGATGCTCAGAGATTCTAACTCAGTATGTCTGAAGTGGAGCCTGAGAATGTATATTTCTAACAAGTTCCCAAAGAATGCAGATGTCATACCTTGAAAAATACTGTTCTAGAGAAGAGGACAGATATGGGGTTTCCACAAACACATACAGCTACTGGTGAAGGCAATCTGGGAAGTGTCTACTACAGGTACTAACGAGATTTTCCTCAGGAAGGCATGTTCCAGGATTGGATGAACTAGGGCATCACTTGAGGATGGGAAGATTACATCTTTAGGTCAAACTATCTAGATTCATGATATCCTGTATTTTCCTTTTGTCATCCTGCATCTCCCGGCAAAGCACTGTTGAAACATTCCTGTTTATCTTAGACTTGTTATTGTACATTAAGGGGCTGGCAAGTACATGAAGCTTTGAAGAGGGAACAGCTGGAATCTTCTAGGCAAGTGTACAAGGGTCAGGTGCAAGGAGTGAAAAGTTGAGAAAGGGTATGTATAAATATTTGGGGGCAAGGCCCTAAGCTAAACTTGGAAATTGTTTGATGATTATATGTTAAATAAAAGGAAGATGGCTTTTGATGACAACTTTTTAATTTCATGAGCCCCACCAGAGCCCATAACACAGTCCCAGACTCTGGGGATCACCACCAGGTGAAGGTGAATATATGGAAGCAATCGGTGACCTTGGCCCGGTGTGCATGATCCAGGTAGTAGTTCCCACAGGACACCTGGTAGCCCTGGGCCTTAATGTCCATCTCCACACAGTACAGAAGGTCCTTGATTTCTGGGCCTACCTTCCAGGGGCCAAACTTGACAACTGGCATCTTTCTGGCCTCCAGAGAATGGAGGGGCTGGGCACACCTTGTGGCTTCCTCCTCAGTGCGCATCACACACACCACCACACTTGACTGGCGTACTGCCACGGCCTCTGCCCTTGCCAGACGCAGCAGGAGCTCTAGATTCTCACTGTAGCCAGGCACTCGCAGCAAGAACTGCTTCCGCGCCACCTGCTCACCAAAAATCTGGGGCGTGTCCTCCAAGAGCTTGACCAAAGGCTGGATTTCATAGAATTGAGCCTCACGGTATACCTCAGGGATGTGCTGTGTAGGCACCTGCCCACTGCGTAGGTAGTCCAGAATGGCCCCAAAATAGGTGCCAGGGCGATCGATGAAGAAGCGACCCTCTGCGTCAGTGCAGGCCTTGGTTGAGCTACAAAACATCTCTGTCAGCTTTGAGCCTGGGAGTTTTCTCAGAGTCCCCATGGTGGTGGTGTAGATCTGGCCCCCGATGTTCAACTCTACAACGGTGGATACCTGGGGGCAAAAGCGGCAGGGTGAACCAACAGCACCATCTYCAGAAAGCTCATGATTTCAATAACCTAATACAGAACATGGGGGAGCCTCAACCTTTGTCATTAGGTATTGGAAGTTACACTATACTGAAAGGAATTATATTTATACTGTGTAGCTCCAGAGGGTGGATATTTTAAGGAGAAAAAAGACTATAGATACAAGAATGCCTATTCAAGCCTTTTATATATATATATATTATTTTTTTTAAGTACTGGGGATTAAACCCAGGGGCATTTTGCCCTGAGCTACATCCCCAGCTCTTTTTATTTTTTATTTAAGGAAGCATCTCATTAAGTTGCTCAGGGCCTTGCTAAATTGCTGAGGCTGGTGTCAGACTTGGATCCTCCTGCCTCATCTTCAGAGTCATTGAGATTACAGGCACATGCCTCCATATCCAGTTTCAAGTATTTTAACTTCTTTCGATCAGTGAAAACTGCTGTGGAAGTCCCAGTGATAATATTTCCAAAATATGTGGCCTTTGGCAAGCCTTTTCTCCTCCCTGGGTCTGTTTCCTTATCTATAAGACAAGAATATGCAATTTTTTGTGGTACTGTAATAGAACCCAGTGCCTGCCATGCATGCTAGGCAAGCACTCTACCACTGAGCTACATTCCTAGTCCTGAGAACATGCAGGTCAGGAGTTCCCAACCTGGAATGCTCAGATCTCTAAAACAATTTTAAATTAAAGAAAGTAAAGGGATGGACATGGTGATCCACACTTGTCATCCCAGCTACTCAAGAGGCTAGGTAGGAGGATCACAAATTTGAGGCCAACCTGAGCACCTCAATATAAAAAATAAAAAGGACTGGTGGTGTATCTCAGTGGTAGCATGCAGCTGAGTTCAATCCCTAGTGTTGAGGAAAAAATAAAAAAAAAAAGAAAGAAAGGAAAAGGTGGGAGTGGGTGATGATCCCCCATCTCATTCCACCATCTTTCCTGCCCTCATGCACCCTCACATTTCAGAAAATTTTAAAGAACTAGAATTCATTCAGAAGTACTTCATGGATACTTACTATGTACTCACATCCTGTTCTAGGAATTGAAGACAAAAATTATTTTTGAGTGTATATGTGTAGTTCTGGAGACTTAACCCAGGAGACCACTGAGCTACATCCCAAACCTTTTTATTTTTTATTTTAAGACAAGTTCTTGCTAAGTTGCCCAGGCTGGCCTTGAACTTATGGTACTCCTGCCTCCTAACCCACTGGAATTACAAATGCCACCATACACTGAAAGGACAAAAAATATTTTATCATCAGAAGTTCTGATTAGCAGTTGACAGATCTTTGRTTAATTTTAAAAATAGAATCTGTGGGCTGGAGATGTAAGTTGATGGTATAGCACTTGCCTAATGTGTGCAAAGCCCTGGGTTCCCTCCCTAATACTGGGGAAAAAAGAAAAAAGAAGAATTTGTTTGATGGATGTTTTTCAAAATATGAGCCTGTGGGGCTTAAATAGGACTGGTCAGCACTAGATACAGTGGATGTAAAACTGCTTCATAAATTATAAATGTGCAAGGGTAAATTACGTTAAGATGTCCAGTGGAATTTTTAAAAACCTCTCTGTACCAGACCCTGGGCTGAGCACGAAGGATGCAGGTGAGTCTTCTTGGAGATGCCCTCAGCTAGTAGGGAGAGGGACATGGAACCAGACTGGGAGTTGTGTTGCATTTGAGGAAACTTTGGGTGTTTCTAAGGGATTTCTAAAGGATGTGATGGCTTAAGGCCCAGGGTTTTATCCCTAGCACTGCAAACAAACAGAAAACTRTATAATTGTTAGTACACATGAAGTGATACACCAGTTGTTACTTTTACAAACTAGCTTCCTAAACAACTTTTGTTATTTAAAATTCACTCATTCAATAAAATATGTATGTGACTATTTTGTACTTTGTGCCAGGTACCTGGGAACCAGTGATGAATAAGCAGGACATGGTCCCAGCCTTCACATTCTAGTAACTGCAATTTTATTGTTTTTGTTTTTGTGTTGTTGTTGTTGTTGTTGTCGTTTAGGGGTTTTGGGCACTTAACTGCTAAACCACGTCCCCAACCCTTTTTATTCTTTATTTTGAGAAAGGGTCTCATTAAGTTGCTGAGGCTAGCCTCAAACTTGTGATATTCCTGCCTCAGCCTCCTGAGTCACTGGGATTACAGGAGTGCACAACCACACCCAGTTTGTACAGTGTTTTAAATGCATTGTCTAATTCAATCATAACCACACTGCTATTAGAATGTATTAAATCCCTATTTTACAGATGAAGAAACTAAAGCTGAAGGAGGTAAAGTAAGCTGTTAAAGATCAACCAACTACTAAGTGATGATTTGAACTTGGGTCTGCTGTACTCCAAACTCACCTCCATTCTTCATCCCCTACTGATTCATTGATTTGACAAAATATGTGGAAGACCTATTGTTTGCAAGCCTTGCGCTAGGCAGATGATTAAGACACAGCCCCTGCCCTCAAAGAGCTCGCAGGGGAGAGAGAGAAACAGATGGCTTACACATGTAGGTGCTGAGAGGAAGACTCAAAGGTAGGAGGAGTCAACTTTTTGTGTTGAAGGTTGATTTCCTAAGGGATGTGATGGCTGCTGCTGCCATCTGGGTAATGTTAAAGGGAAGGCTGGATTCCTGACCTGGAGACTTTACAACTCATTGCAGGGTCAGGGATGGAGAAGGGGCTCAGGATTGTCCTTCAGTCTGATTTAGGTGCTACCTCATTCTCAACTGGCCTGTAGATTCTACCTCTAAGATTAAAGTTGTATACTGAAATTAAGAGGGCCAAACACAATCAAACTGCTGGAAAGCACTGAGTTGCCATGGCAACAGCTCCTACCAGGGGACAGTTGTGCTACTAGATGGGAAAAGGCAGAGGAGAGAATGCATCTTGTCAGCAGCTGTCAATACAGCTGAGAGAAATAAGCCCAGGATCTGTGACTACTCCTTTCTCCCATAAACTTCAAGGGCYTTGGCAGGGCTGTTTGGTTAACCCTGAGGTCACCTCTGTGAAGCAGGCAGTTAAATGTGAATTCGCAGACTTTACCCCGTGAATGAACCAATGTGTTCTCATTATTCCTGTTATCACTGAAAGCTTGCGGGTCTTTTCTTTCTTTGAGTGTATATATGTTGTGCTGGGGACTGAACCCAGGGATGCTTTACCACTAGAGCTACATTCCCTAGTCGTTTATTTTGGGAGAGAGTCTCACTCAGTTGCTGAGGATCTCCCTGAGTTGCTTGCAATCCTCCTGCCTCAGCATCCTGAGTTGCTTAGATTATTGGTCTGCGCCATCACRCCTGATTCACAGGTCTTCTTAAAGGTCCTCATATCACAGGCAAGGAAAAGTCAAAGATGAGTCTCATAATTAGGAAGTGACAAAGTAGAGCTGGTAMGGCCATGAGGATATAGGGATGAATTAGACCCAGCCCACACCCAGTTAAGCTACAGGGTCTCTACACATCTTACCTATTCTTTCAAACATTCATACATTTCGTTAGATCAGTCTCAGATGAATGAAAGAAGGGATATCTTCCCAAAATGTCCCCCAAGCCCTTCAAGATCTCTCACCAACCCACAACCCTGAACTTTCCCACTTCTCTACTCAGTTATCTGAGCCCTAGGTAATCTTGCATTCTGCTCCCACCCCTCAATTTCCCCACACACCTAATCAATCACCAGATCCTAGTAATTCTATTTGCCTGGTAAGTTCCATGACCCCCTGGATTCCCCCAAATCCATTCTCCATTCTGAAATCAGAGTCCCTTTTCTGAAGTGCAAAACTGATGCTGTCACTCTCTGCTCCCCACCCCCTGACCAGGGATTGAACCTGGGGGTACTTAACCACTGAGCCACATCCCCAGCTCTTTAAATTTTTTGTTTGTTTTGAGACAGGGTCTGCTAAATTGCCAAGACTGGCTTTGGAACCTGTGATCCTCCTGCCTCAGCCTTCCAAGCCACTGGAATTACAAACATGAGCCACCTCACCCAGACACTCCCTGCTTTAAACATTTGAGTGACTTGTAATCCCAGCAGCTCTAGAGGCTGAAGCAGCAGGATTGCAAGTTCAAAGCCAGCCTCGGCAATTTAGCAAGACCCTAAGCAACTTAACAAGAAAACATCTCAAAATAAAAAACATAAAGGATTGTGGCTATAGCTCAGTGGTAAAGTGACCCTAGGTTCAATTCCCAGTACCCACCCTCGTTCCAAAGGAAAAAAAAAAAAAAAAAAAACACTTTCTTGACTTTTTTAACAATGCTTAAAAGTCTCTTGGGGCAGGAATGGGGGCGGGGCTGTGGCTCAGTGGTACAGCACTTGCCTAGCATGTGTGAGGCACTGGTGAG